ACAATTCTCTATTTGAACCTACGAATTTCCCCATTTTGGGGAAAAAAAAAGCCATTTTGGTTAAAAAACCCCCAGTGGCCAACCTCCCCCCATCAAGGCTTCCTGCTTTTTTGGGGTGAATTCTTTAGGAATCAGGTAAATTGGGTGAATCATTCAGAAAAGGGCTTTGAGGGCAGAAGAGGGGGAGCCACGAGCTGCAAATTTTGCCAAAAAAGGGTTTTTTTAGGGGTGGGGGGGGGCAAAATTAATATTTTTTTCACCCAGAGTGAAGCCCCTGCGCAACCAACCGCCTCGTTTTCAGAGCTAATTAACACAATTAACTAATTAATCCCCCAAATTTTCACCCAGAAATGGAAAGAAATGGAAATAAATATATTTTCCAAGAGGAAAAATTCCATTTTTTTAGGGAAAAGAACCATCAAAATTTGCCCAAAATGAGGATTTTTTTGGGGGGGAAAAGGTCATCGCTGCATTTAAAACCCAAAGAGCCGCTGGGGTGGAATCGATGCTTTTTATTATTTTTCCAAATCTCAACTTTTTGGGGGTTTATTTTTTTTGGTATTTTTTTTTTCCTTTTTCTTTCTAAAATTGCCCCAAAAAACGTGTGTGTGTCCGTCCCCCCCCCCCCCCCCCCCGCAGCCGGCGGCCCCCCCCCCGCCCCCCAGCAGCCGGCGGGTTTCGGAGGGGACGATCCTGCCGCTTCTTCGTCCTAAAATGAAAAGAATCGGCGAGAAAATGAGGAAAAAACCCCTCAATTTTAAAGAAAAAAAAAATCCTCCCCTTAATTTACCCCAAATCGGCCAAATTTGGGTGCTGCGCTCAAAAAAGGGTAAAAATAAGAATAAATCCCCCCAAAAAACACCCACCCAAACCCCATCGATGTGTGTCATCACCTTGGGAAATATTCACAGTTCTTCCGGCTGCGGCGCCGGAGGAGCCTCTTCCTCCTCCTCCTCCTCCTCCTCTTTTCCAGCCCCACCCTCAGGTTCGTTTTGGGGTGAAACGGCCGTTTTTGGAGGATTTTGGGGGGTTTCTTGCGGAGCTTCCGAGGGCGTTTCTTCCGCTGTCGCCTCCGGCGTCACCTCCGGCTCGTCGTCCTGCAGGAACGGGGGCATCAGGAGGGGTTTGGGGGGATCCTCGTCTCCCAGATTTTTCAGAAATTCCTCATTTTTGGGAAAATCCGGGGGAATTTCCGGCGTTTCGGTGGGGGGGGCGTTTCCTCCGGTGTTTTCTCCCTCCCCGGCCTCGACGGCGGCGCTTCCTTCTCCTCCTTCCAAAGCCTCCTCCACCTCCTGATCCGGGATTTCATCCGTGAAAGGATCTTCTCCCTATGGAAAATAAATAAATAAAAAAAAAAGACGGAAAAACAATGAAAAAAGAAGGTTTTTTGTAGGAAAACGGGGAAAACCGCCTCGATGTCGGACGAGTCTTAAAATAGTGGGGAAAAAAATTAATCAAAATATTATTATTATTATTATAATTATCTATCATGGAAAATCCCGAAGGAATCCCAGGATATAAGAAAAAAAAAAAAAGGCAAGAAATGGAAAAATCCAGGAAAATTGCCCAAAATGCTCCGCTTTCGCAGGAACCAGGGGCCGGACCCTCCTCATCCCGGGGGGGAAGAGGAGGAGGAGGAATTTGGGTTAAAAAGAGGATTTAAATGGAAAAAAAAAATTCTGGCCAGATTGGGATTTTTTTTTTTTTTTTTAAAATTCCATCTTTTTCCGAGGCTCCGACCCTCCGGAGGCGACGATGGAGACGAAAATCGGCGGATTTGACCCCGCAATCTCAACTCAACTCCCCCCCCAAAAAATTCCTCCCCCATTTTGGGGGGGTCCTGGGGGGGTTGTGAAGTCCACTCTTAGTGGAGCCCATCCCGGATTCCCTTGGGAAGAGCCGGGATTCCCACCATCCCTCCGAGGAGGAGGAGGAGGAGGAGGAGGAAGAGGAGGAATCCTCATTGAAGCCGATGGATCGAGAAACGACCATTTTTGCCGAAGAAAATAATAAAAAATTGGTTTTGTTTTTTTTTTT